TAAAAAAACCAACAGACATCTACATATGTAATGGTGTGCGTTGGGTAACCGCTTACACGCAAAGCTCATTTAACAGATTCCTTATGTGACGACAACCTTCATGCAATGCCAAGTATGCATAACTGAGCCATAACCGTTGCCGTCTGACTATAATATTAGGCGATTATATTTTGCCAAGTTTTTGGCAAAACCTCGCTCTTACATTCAAGAATGTCTTGTCCTTTAACCAAAACAAATGTAATAATGAAATACCAAAAGTGTACCTCCCCCACTTTACACTTAGTTAGGTACATCATGTTCTTTAGAAATTGAATTTGCCTAAACAATTTTGGTCGAGTCCAACGAACGTCAGTCGTTTCTCTTTTATTACAAGTGAAACCAAGTCCTCCACCTGGCATATCTATCGCAGATGAGGTATTCTTCGTCCTCTCCTACCACTAGAGGGTTCCGCGTTGAATATTTTTAGGGCTGCCGCATTTGCGTTCACTCGTACGACATTATTTGCTGCACTATGTTCATATGGCTGTAATTAGCGCAAAAAGCGCTGGTACATGCACCCAACCACTTCTTTGTCGGCAGCTTTGGACAGCTTAGGCGGCATGCCGTCCGCTTCACATAGCATTGGTCTAATGGAGGAGCGTGATCTTGATCCATGTTCAGTGGTGTGGGTTTCTTTTTTTCTTTGTAAAATGCGCCGCCTGTGTGGTCATTCAAAAGCTCAAGAATACTTTGAACGTCTGCCTTATTTTCCGTTAGAATTTTCGAGCCTCGCTCGAATCGCTTCTTCCGCCTATCACAATGGGATCAATTTTGTCCTTCGTTCTTTGATCACGAGACACCCACGTGGCTTTGTGGATGTTTTGATGCTCGTACTACTGTATAACTATCATGTTCCAAGCCGTGGAAAAGTCGATCAGCCTGTCTTCGGTGTCGGAGGTGTGCTCGTAATAGCCAAAGTTTTGCACAGTTCAAAATCAAAAAGAAAAACTCGGGGACCACAACAGTTACTACTCTTATTAAAAAAATTGCTCTTTAACAATTATTTTTTGACTTTTATTTAATTACTCTTTAAATAACAGTTATTTATGAACTTTATTTTATAAATCCAAAGTAACAATTATTTTTGATTTCTATCTAAATAATCTGCAAATAATAGTTATTTTTGATTTTTGAAGTTATATGTCTTAGATAACAGTTATCGAAGACTTTTATTTATAAAAGTCGTAAATAAAATCAGTCACTGACCTTTATTTTTTAAATTATAGTTATAAGTCAGTAGTATAAGTCGTAGTAAACTTTTGTTTTCCAGCAACTTAACTGTGAAAAATGTTAATGACTTTTATGCGAATGATTTAAAAAAGAAAAGTCGGTGACTGATTTATATTAATGACTTTTAAAAGTAAAAGTCACTGACTGATTTTTATTGATGAGTTTTATAAATAAAAGTCTTCAATAACTGTTATCTAAGACATATATGTAATATAAAAATCAAAAATAATTGTTATTTCGGACATATAATTTAAAAATATAAAAATAATTGTTATCTATACTTTTTAATTTTGCATACAAATTGCAAATAAAAATTTATTTTCAAATTTGATTGGTATGTATCGCTTAGTTGAAGAACATTTCCTTCATCGTGAATTTTTACATGACAGTTTTCATCAACAACTGTTATGTTTGGTCCCTGAAAAAACTTGCTACTGCAAAGTGGCTCATATCTCTAATCCTTGTCTGATTCGTGTCTAATCCTTCCTAAAGTAAGTAGTAAAGATTAGATATCGATGAGACATAGATCAGAGATAAGAGACACTTAACAGTAGTAAGGGACTTTTTTTTTTTAATTTGGAATTGTGTGTTATTGCAGAGCATCGATATAAACTATAATTTAGTCTTTAATGAAGCAAATTTAAAACAAAATAGCTCGTGATGACATTTAAATATTTTACCCGCATGCATGCACTGAATGCTTAATTTGATGTATTAATTTTTTCATTATTTATTAGTACCAAATTATTTATGTATATTTATTAACCTTATTGAAACTGTAAATAAAGTAACAAATATTCATATAATACAGTATTTAAAAGTACACTATTTGTAGCTGTTTAGTGACATCGCCTTTATTTATAGTTTATTACCAATCAATTCTAATGTCAACCTCGTTGTTTTTTTATTTTCTTCTATTCCTTTGCAATATCCATAAATAAAAAATATATAAAATTCTTGTGGTAATGGTTCATTGCGTTTGTAACGTCTAATAACAAAAAACGCAATTCTAACCAAAAAATTGAACAACCACCAAATTAAATCTATCCATCCATAAACAACCATCGACCGAATCCAATATTGCTCACATACTCGTGCTTATTGTTAACAACAAAAATATATTTTTTTTTATAACCATCGATATCGCTGTTGCTGTTTTCAAATGCTGATCGCTTACTCCCTACAACTATACGCTTATTAATAACATCTTTAAACCTACTGTGTAAACCGTCTGCCAAAAATGCCTAACCACCACCACCCACATACTTTTGCGCTTTCACTCACGATCGATGCACATACGTACACACGCATTAATACTGCATTCTCAACACCCACACACTTACACATCCCCAAACTCAACGCATTTGGGTTGTACGTGATATGGCAAAACGAACGTCCTTAAAAACGCACGAAACGCTCGCATCAACAATCATCTGCCATTGGTTCTCGTATCGTTTTTTGTTTTTGTTTTTTTTTTCGCAACGTTCATCCGATCTCCTTCCACCTGCTTATGCTCACGCTTTGTTATTGGGACGCGATCACACATCATAATAAACAATCAAAAATATACAAACATTGTTTAAATTTGTATTGGTCTTGTAAATACTAAAGTCTAAAGGATTATGGTGTTGCCTCAAACAGATACACCTTCTGTCAAAAATGCTTCAACGACATTCAAGGAGACACGGTCACATTGGGTGATGATCCGCAGCAGTCGCAGACGTAAGTAGTAAAAGTAATCCTTTAGTATCAATTAAAGGCTTTGAAACATTTTTTTCTTTTTTATATTCCGTCCTAATTTTAATTCGATATCTTTTGTTGTTTTTACATTATTCGAACGCAAACGCCAGTCAAATACGTAAAGATCAGTTTAGAGAGATGAAAAATGATCACTTAGAATTAGAGCCGTTTGTCGATTGCCAGGAATGTGGTCGCAAGCAACATCAAATTTGCGTCCTTTGGCTAGATACGATTTGGCCGGGTGGTTTCGTGTGTGATAACTGTCTGAAAAAGAAGAATTCCAAACGAAAGGAGAACAAGTTTAATGCTAAGCGTTTGCCCACTACAAAACTTGGTATTTACATTGAAACGCGTGTGAATAACTTCTTGAAGAAGAAAGAAGCTGGTGCTGGTGAGGTTCACATCCGCGTTGTATCGTCGTCGGACAAATGCGTAGAAGTAAAACCGGGCATGCGTCGACGATTCGTCGATAATGGCGAAATGTCTTCAGAGTTTCCTTATCGTGCGAAAGCGTTATTTGCCTTTGAGGAGGTGGACGGCGTCGATGTGTGTTTCTTTGGCATGCATGTGCAAGAATATGGATCGGAATGTCCACAACCGAATACACGGCGCGTTTATATTGCCTATTTGGATTCGGTGCATTTCTTTAGACCGCGTCAGTATCGTACCGCAGTGTATCACGAAATTTTGCTAGGCTATATGGATTATGTCAAGCAACTTGGTTACACAATGGCGCACATTTGGGCTTGTCCACCATCCGAGGGCGACGACTACATTTTCCATTGTCACCCGACGGATCAGAAAATACCAAAGCCGAAACGTTTGCAGGAATGGTACAAAAAGATGTTGGACAAGGGCATGATTGAGCGTACCATACAGGATTACAAAGATATTTTGAAGCAGGCCATGGAAGATAAATTGACTTCAGCGGCTGAGCTGCCCTACTTCGAGGGAGATTTCTGGCCCAATGTACTGGAAGAAAGTATAAAAGAGTTGGACCAGGAGGAAGAGGAGAAACGCAAACAGGCTGAAGCAGCAGAAGCGGCAGCAGCGGCCAATGTAAGATTTTTGCTTTTAGAATTACATAAAATTATATGAATTTGAACCATATATGTATTTATTATTTTGCTCGACAGATATTCTCCATTGAAGATAATGAAGTGAGCGGTGATGGCAAGAAAAAGGGGCAAAAGAAAGCGAAAAAGTCAAATAAATCGAAAGCTGCACAGCGCAAAAACAATAAGAAAACCAATGAACAGCAGACAGGCAATGACCTCTCTGCCAAGATCTATGCCACAATGGAGAAGCACAAGGAGGTGTTCTTTGTGATACGTCTGCACTCGGCGCAGTCAGCTGCAAGCTTAGCGGTAAGCGCATTCTTTAAAAATAACTATACCCATGCCTGCCTCATACATGTGCGCAGTGTTTTCTTGACGTCGTTCTGATTGCGTTATCAGTAAATTTGCGAACTTTAACTTTACGGCACACTTTTTTG